CGCGCAAATGTTCGCTGATTAGTGCACCCTAAAAATGTGTGTGTGTGTGATAAAGCTCTTTTTTTCTTCTTTCAGTGTTTTAGATTTAGCCGTACAGTAGTGTGGATTATGCTTTGTACAAGCTTGAGGATTGCTCTTCGCTCACTCCTCTTCTTATCAAATCCTCAAGCACTAAACTGACATTTTCTACCCACCACCACCACCACCTCCACAATCTCCATCAGTAACCAAACTGCACAAGTATTGTGTGCACATCGACTGTGTATGTATTGACAAATGGATGACAAGCCCGCAGCAGCAGCTAAGCCTGAAACGTCAAACAACAACGAAAAAGTAGATGCGGAAACAGAGGCAGTGGAGTTAGTGCTGATGACCACATTTGACCTGAAACTGAAGTGAAATGCCTTTTTCTGAAACGGGTGAGTCATGTAAAGACACCATCTGACTGCATTGACGGCTGATAACTGCCTGGCTACCAGAATTGCGCCTCTCCTTTATATGTTACTTTTCTTTCCCTCTTTCTGGAAACTTCGAAACTGCGAAGTGTGGGTAGAGGTTTGAAGAACTGCGCCTGTGGTAGTTGCAGCGGCCACATGGCTGATACACACCGATGATAGATGACGGGTAACTGTTGTGTGAAGTAAAAAAACCCAGTCACTGTTGCTAATGTAGCATCCCTGGCTCCCCTCCTTCTCTCCCTTTCTAGATCGGTTTACGGCGATTGGTCGGCGGTGGTGGCGTTCACCAGGCACCACACCAGTGCCCACTACTATCACCAACTTGTGCAGCCAATTGTAGTCGTCCACTTGGGCAGCAGCAGCAACAGCAGCAGCAGCAGCTTTGTGCTACCATCACAGCCACAATGCGCGAAGATCAAATGTCAAATTAGGATAAAAATGAAGTAGAAGAAGGGGCGATAAGACCGGTGGCTAGCGGTACTGCTACCATTCACATCACCACCACCACCATTGCCAACTCTTCGGACAGTGGATGGTGGTGGTGGAAATGAGCGGTGTGAGCTGCTGGTGGCCAAAGTCCAAGTAGGGCGTTCAAGAAGGACTGAAAATCGGTAGAGCGTATAAAAGGGACTGCAGTACCGCTGCCCCGAACTATGCGACTCCGACTTCATTCTTGACAAAAGCTAGCGTCAAGATGAGCTCCCTCAAAGTCGTAGTATTGCTGCTAGCTGCCTTTCTAGGTAAGTCCGCTTTTTCACTTTTCCTCCCGGCTTTAGCTGACACTAATCACTGTTTTTATTTTTGATTCTTTCTCTTCATCTCTAATTTCAACAACCACAACAACAACAACCCCAACACCAACTCCTCATCACCACGCCAACACAGGCACCAGCTATGCGGAAAAATGTACCTCCATATGTCCGCGCTCCCTACCCACCTCAATCGTGCCCAAGGTGCAGTCTACTTACGTGTACGGTCTGGAGGCAAAGACGGTGCTGACGCCGCGAGACACCCTCAAAGTGACCGTGAAGGCCGACGCCGAGGTGTCCATTGACAGCGTCTGCGAGGCCACCCTCCGCCTGAAGAACGTCGTCATTGAGGGCGTGCCCAATGGCGCCGAGCTGGCCGCCAAAGTGTCCGTCAACCCGATTGGTTTTGGCTACCACAACGGCAAGGTGCGGGGCGTCTGTCCGACCAAGGACGAGGAGGAGTGGGCGACCAACATCAAGAAGGCCGTCATCAGCGCCCTCCAGGTGTCCTTCTCCGGTGAGCAGAGTTTCTCCGCCGACGTCGAGGAGGAGGACTTTGCCGGCAAGTGCACCGCCTCCTTCACGCGCCTCGAACAGGGCGCTCAGGGCACGGTACTGCAGAAGAAGAAGGACCTGAACCGATGCACTGAGCGCCGCGTGGACCTCCGCCAGACGCCCGACCAGGCGCTGGGCCAGTTCAAGGAGCTGCTCCGCCAGCACCTGCACCCGGTCGACTCGCAGCAGAGCTGCCGCATCACCCTCAAGGACCAGGTGGTGAAGGAGGTGGAGTGCGAGGAGACGCACAGTCTGGTGCACCGATCGGAGAAGCCGATCACCACCGCCTCGCTGAAGCTGTCACTCAAGTCGAGCAAGGACGGCATCGCCGCCGACTTTGCTGCCCGCGAGATCCTCCAGCAGCCCAATCTCTACCTGACGCACGAGCACAAGCACGCCCACACCGCCACCGAGGCCGACGTGGTCGCCAAGCTGAAGGAGCTGTGCGGCCTGATCTCCGAGAAGACGAGCAGCCTCGAGGCGAGCACCGCCTTCAACGAGCTGGTCGACCTGCTCAAGTACCTGCCCGCCGATGCGGCCGCCTCCGTGGACGCCGCCGTGAAGGCCGGCGCCGCCATCTGCCCCAGCGTGCCGAAGCGCCTGCGAGAGCTCTTCCTCGACGCGTCCGCCTTTGCCGCCTCCGACTCGGCGATCAAGACGCTGGTGCGGGCGCACAACGCCCAGGAGCTGACCATCACCCGAGCCGCCGCCGCCTTCACCGTGGTCGCCCTCAAGGCGCAGCCCAACGAGGAGACCGTCCGCGCCCTGCTCCCCCTCATCGACTCGGACAGCACCACCCGCCCCCTCCTGCTCGGTTTCTCCGTCCTCATCCGCCGGTACTGTGAGAAGACCAACGACTGCGCCACGAACGCCGCCATTGCCGAGGCACGCGACGTCTACGCGAACCGCATCGCCAAGACCACCGACAAGTTGATCCGCGTGACGCTTATTAAGGCGCTGGAGAACCTGAACGTCAATCCCACCGGCGGCGAGAAGGCCGTCAAGCAGCTGGAGGAGATCATCAACTCGGCTGAGGCGGGCGATGCCGCCCGACTGGCCGCCGTGAAGGCGCTGCCCACCACCGCCGACGTCGCCGGCCAACTGAAGAGCATCGTTCTCAATGAGGCGCTGCCCAATGAGGTGCGCGTGGCCGCCTTCCAGCGACTGGCCGCCTCCGGTGCCGGCCTGAAGGACGTCAACCAGCTGCTCGGCGTGCAGGAGCACTGCGTCAAGAACTACATTGGCACGTACGTGAAGAACCTGAAGGCCTCAAAGAACCCCGTCCGCCGCAGTCTGGTCCCGGAGACCGTGGAGCTGAAGGAGGAGCCGAGCACCAAGTTTGGCGTCTCAAAGAACCTCGCCTACGAGTACGGCCCGCTCACCGTCGACGTGGACATCGTCTACCCGAAGAACTCTAATGTGACGCAGTCTATCAGCGCTCGCATCAGCAAGATTAGCGGCGGTAGGTTTTTCTTTTAAGTTGTTTATTATTTTTACTAACTCCATTTCCCACACGCAGACAAAGTCGTCCAGGTTGCTGAACTGTCCGTCCGCCAGGAGGGCCTCGACAAACAAGTCGGCAACGTCCTGAACGCCGTCTCCCGAAAAATCACCCCCTCGCAGTTTGGCTTTGAGCTGGTGAAAGATCTCTCGGCACTGGTGCAGAAGCTAAAGCAGAAGGACCACACTCACAACCACTTGCAGCTGTCGGCGCAGGTGAACGGCAAGAACATCCTCTTCACTGACGCTTTCGAGGACCTGCACACGCTGGCCGATCTGCTGCGAAAGCGCATCGAGAAGGTCATTGACGAGAAGAAGGTCGACCGAACCATCGGCGGCGTGCTCATCGACACAAAGGTGGTCGTGCCCACCGTTTCCGGCGTCCCGCTCGTCTACAAGCTGACGGATAACTTCGTCATTCAGATCAACGGCGAGGTGAACAAGGAGGGCACCAAGCGACACGTCATCCTCAACCGCTCCCTGGTGGCCGGCATTCGCGCTTCCGTGAAGCTGCTGGTGAAGGACCAGAAGCTCGGTTTCGAGTACAACGGCAAGCTTGCCCTCACGCCCAATGTCGACTTTGAGATGGAGAAGAAGGAGAAGGGCGTCCAGCTGAAGCTGAACCTGAAGGAGGACCAGAAGACGCTGCTCAAGTTCAAGCAGTCGCTGCGGGAGATCAAACAGGCGGGCACTGATGTGACCAGCGAGAACGAGCTCGCCCCTGAGCCGAGATCCGACAACTGTGTCTCCGTTCTGAGTGAGTTCTCTTATACTTTTCCAAAACAAAACATTGACTTACTTTTCTCTCTTTCTTCCCCAGTCCTGAACTACTGCCGCAAGGCCACTCAGGTGAAGGGTCTGAAGATCCCCAACGTGGAGTACTACCTGACGAAACCGGAAGCAGGCATCAACGCCATCGTCCTCGACCTCACCGCTGACACTGCTGATAAGAACGCAAAGAAGTTTGTCGCAAAGATCAGCGCTCTTGGCGGCTCCAAGCCGCACGACCACCTCGCACAGGTGGAGCTGCTCACTCCTGAAGGCGGCGCCAAAGAGCTGAAGGTGCTGCTGAAGTCGCCCGAGAACACGCTGGAGACCAAGTTCTCCGTGAACGTCGGCGCCTCGAACGTCAACCTGAAACTGAACCTTCCCAATGTCATCGACCTCGACATCACCAACAACATGGTGGAGAATGCGGAGAAGAACGGCATGTCGAGCAACATGCTCATAGAATACAAGTTCCCCGACGACCCGACGAAGCACTCCATCAAGTGGAACAGCAAGGCGGTCGTCAACCTGAAGCGCACCGGCAAGGACAAGGTGGCCAACTTTGAATACGGCGTCTCGCTGGAGTCCAGCCGACGGCCGTACCTGAACCACCGCTTCTTGATCGACGTCAAGTACCGCCCGTACAAGCTGAACGAGGTCAAGCTGGAGTTCGCCTACGGCAAGGACATGGCCAATCTGTACAAGTTCGCCCGCACCTCAAAGATCGACGTCCAGGAGTTCCGCCCCTTCAAGCTGTCCTCCGAGTCGGAGACGGAGATCATCGCCACCGACTTTGACGTCGACTACCACATGAAAGCCGACACAAAACTGCTCAACGACAAAGGCAACGCTCTGGAGTTTGACCTGAACCTGCAGGGCAAGGACCGCTCGAAGCGCGCCGCCGGCAAGGACAACGAGATCACCGGCAAGGTGATGTACCGCAACAAGGGCGCCACCGTCGACTCGAAGCTGGAGGCCAGTCTGAAGGGCATGGGCCGAGACTACGGCTGGAACAGCGAGCTGAAACAGGTGGAGCCGCAGAAGTACGAGGGCAAGATCACCGTCCAGCTGGACAAGGACCGAAAGGTCTTTATCACCCACAAGGAGGAGTAAGTGATCATCAGATAAACTAAACATCATCCTCTTTACTAAACAACCGTTTTCTTCTCTGTCAACAACAGGGCCAGCAAGCCGACCAAGGACTTCTTCATGAAGTCGGAGGCTGACGTTACCTACTCTTTTAAGCCCGACAAGAAGACGTACAAGGTGGAGGTAAAGAAGGCGGGCACGGCGATCACCCTGAAGGGCGAGGCGACCAAGGACGGCAAGGTCCTCCTCAGCAATGACGTCAACTTTGAGAGCAGCAACGGTAAGCTGAAGGCGCTGCTCTCCCGAGACACGCGCAGCTACGATCTCACCGTGGACAACGTCTACAAGCCCAAAGAGGCGGCGCTGATCTTCAAGATCGAGGACCGCGTCTACAACATCAAGGTGAACCGAGAGCCGATGAAATACATCAACGTGAAGGTCGACGGCAATGACAAGGCGCTCATCAAGAGTGTAAGTGTTTTTGTTGTTTTGTTGTTGTTGACCATTGTCACTTACACTTCAACTTCTGATTACAGGGCACCGCTCACCTCTCCCTCATCGACGCCTCTAAGCTGAACCTGGTGACGAAGGCCAACACCAAAATCGACACCAGCCTGGACCTGCTCTCGACGGTGACGAAGAAGGCCTCCCTTAAGGTCGACAGTCCAAAGTTCAACTTCAAACACGAAGGAGACGTTGAGCTGAGCCTCGTCAATCGGCGCCTAAACTGGAAGTCCTACACGAAAAAGGACGCCACAGAGTGGAAGTTCAACGCCGACGTGGCCCGAAAGGGCTCCGCCGTTTCGCTGCAGAAGATCGTTCCCGAGCGAACGAGCAGCGTGCAGTACTCGCGAAACGGCGACAAGATCGAGATCAACCTCGACACCGAGTACCTGCAGGGCAAAATCGAGGGCGACCGCCGGGCGGGCAAGATCGTGCTGAAGAACAAGGAGAAGAACTACGAGCTGGAGAGCACGTACAAGTACGAGAACCGAAAGCTGGTGATCGAGTCGGTGAGCAGCAACAACGCCAAGCTGGAGGCGGTCATCTCCCGCAGCGCCCCCTCCAAGCTGGTTCTCGAGACGCCGAACACAAAGGCGAACCTCGCCCTTGACCTGAGCGCCCCCGTGAAGACGCTCAAATTTGACTTTGACAACCCTCGCTTCCAGAAGAAGATCGACGCCGAGTCGGAGCCGGGCAAACGCTTCAAGTACTCCAGCTACGGTAAGATCAAGGAGGGCAACCGCGAGCAGAAGATCGAGGTGAACGGCAAGCCGCTGAAGGAGCTCAACGTGGACGTCCAGTTCCCCGACTTTAAGATGAAGGTGGAGCAGCCCGAGGGGGCGAAGAAGGTGAAGTTCAGCTACACCTTCAACAACTACACCGAGGACGAGGAGTACGACTTTGACCCGAACAAGGCGTACTTTGCAAACTGGCTCACCGCCCTTCGTCGCTACGCGCAGACGTTTGTGGTTGCGTAAAGCGTTCACCCCATCTCTCGAGTAGTCCATCAATCAATCTGTTTCCTACCACCACCAAATCACCTTTCCTCTTCTCTCTCTATCTCCCTAGCTTCACACATCATTTACACACCAACACTTTTCTCCCCTTTCCTCTGTACACATTTTTTCTCAAGCACACACACACAGACTACACACGCGGTCTATTTAGTGAGTCATTGATGAGATGTTTAAACATGTTTAATTCCAAATAAATAACCCAAACCAAACAATGATTGCCTTTTTGATTGCTGGCTCACCTTTTAAGTTTTTTTCATTTATTTTTTTAGCTCTTTTGCAACTCGTTTTTGAATTCTGCTCCCTGTCATGCTCACCTTCTCCTTAGCCATTTTCTTGATCTGTCTGCAAGCTTTCGGAACATCTGCATCTAAAGCCAACCAGACATGCAACGAACCGGGTATTTTAAGCATCTGCACAGTTGCAGCCNCTTCTCCTTAGCCATTTTCTTGATCTGTCTGCAAGCTTTCGGAACATCTGCATCTAAAGCCAACCAGACATGCAACGAACCGGGTATTTTAAGCATCTGCACAGTTGCAGCCGAAAAAGTAGCCCAACTGACTGGGCTCAACTCAAGCACAATACTGCCTGAACTGGAGACTCTGATTGCCTCTACCGACGAGCAGAATGTCACCCGTGGATGCAAGGGACTGGCCGCCCTGGTCAATTGCTACTTAGACATGACTTGCACTCAGTGCAGCTACCCAGATGCCACACTGGTCGGAGCTGGTATGCTCCTTAAAACGTCTAAATTGAGCGAGAAATGCAACATCTCTGCAAGCATTGAGCAGAACTCGTTCTGCAGTGCCTCAAAGTGGAAGGCAGCCCACCGGAACCAGTCCTACCCCGGTGAATGTCTGCCTAATCAGGTGAAGCTGCAGTGTGTCCAGCAAAGTACTGCCAACGCAAGCTGCACCAACTGGGAAACTGGCCTCACCAGTGTTCTGCAGAAGACGCTCCAGGCTGACCAGGCCACCAGTGCCTGTCCACAGCTGCTTCAGCTGGGCCGATGCGAGCTGGTGGCCGGCTGCAACCACAGCTGTACTGACCAGACCGAGCTGGAGGACATGTTTAGCGACTGGCTTCTGAGCACTGGCAGCCTCTGCGCCGCCGTCAGTGGCATCGACAAGAAGGAGCTGCACATCGACTGCGAGGACTCGAATAGTACGGTGACCAGCAGTAGTAGTGTCACCTCCTCCAGCAGCATTGTGCCCATTGTCGTGCTGCTGTTTGTCGTTGTGATCATCATCATTGGCATCATCGTCAGCTACTGCGTCTGCCCACCTGATGATGGCTATGGCAAGAAAAAAATTATGAAGAAGGAGAAGGTGAGCATCACTGGGACCAAAATTAGTGACAAGTTGAATGCCAAGTCAAGTGCTGGCAGTACTGGAAAGAAGCCTTCAGCAAAGAAAAAGAAGTCTAAAGGTGGCAAAAGCAGCTCAG